AGAACTACCTGCAAAATCTCAGGGGTCGGGTCTGGCCGCTGAGAAACAGCCAACAGTCAAATCTTAACCCCAGCAGGATTCACCATCAGTGAAGATGAAAATAAAAACCCGTTGTGAAAAGCGGTGCATCTGTGAGCGCTGGGCGATGGGGAACAGGGAAGGAAGAAAGGAGGCACATGTGTTCAAGAGTGGGTGGGTACTGCATGGCTGGGGGGCACACCAGAAGGGCCACTTAGCCAGCGAGTGGGGATAAACACTGGCCGGAAGTGAGCACTGAAGACAAACTTCCCACAGGAGAAGCAAAACAGGACTTGGTGTGTGTCTGTGGTGCACAGGGGTGTGGACCCAGCTGGGCAGAGCTGTTATGTGTAGGGGGGCAGTGCCAATACCCAAAAGGGCACACAAAGTATTGCCTGCAGGACACCTACCTCACAGTGGTGTTTGTTCCACCCCACCCTATGATGTCAGTGCCTCTCAGAAAACCCAAATGACGGTGCCTGCCGTCGAAGACGAACAGTCTGAAGGGGAGGCGTGGAGCTGAATAAATGTACAACTCACCCTGAGAGGACACCAAGTCAAGCCGGAACGCAACATATAGCCTTTATTCTCCTCTTTTTATACACACTCAGAAGAGGCAGGTTAACCAGGGATCAAGAAACATGTGCCAGAGTGTTGACATACTTTTTTACAAAACAAGTATACTCTGTCCTCAGGAGAGATCCTATCTCAGCACACTCAGACTCAACATTTACGACTTGTTATTATTCTTAGCATACTCCCTTATTCCTGACCGTTCTTTCACCCCAATCTCTCAGCTGTCCTCTCTCAGTTCCCTTCAGGTTTCAGCCATCCCCAACATCTCCCCCTTTTTTCTTTAATAGAACAGCCAGCCCAACTCAGCCTGGGTCAAGGTATGTGCCTGTCTTAGGTTGTATGGTTGCAGTAAATCCTTACCCATCATTGGGTGATAGTCCTCTGTCGACCACTCCCTGTCTTAGGTTGGTATTTACAATTCAACCATATCTTACCCGTCATTGGCTACCATACTTGACTTTAGAACTTATGATTTACAAGTGGGGGGGCCGTCTGCAATTTCAAATAATGCAAGTCTCTTAAGGCTTGTTGGATGAGTTTCCACATGCTGCGAAGGACACAAGGCCCTAGTAACAGCGATAGAAGACGTAAAATGCTTAGGGTTCAGAGAGGTGTGACAGCGTGCCTGACACTATTCAGGTGTTCTTTGCACATGTATTTTATCTGATTTAATATATCAGATGCAGTTTTGGCTGCAAATAAGATATGATTTAAATGGTTCTGTGGTGACCGGGGATATAACTCCCCCTTTTTTATTTTTTCTAATTGAGCTTTAAGGGTGCCGTAGGCACATTCCACAATGCCTTGGCCTTGTGGATTATGTGGTATCCCAGTTTTGGGTGAAATGTGCATTACATGGCTGAGATCAAACATGTCCAAAGACAGACATAACTTGAATATATATATATAGGTTTTAACAAACTACTAGTTACATTGCATACACACGTTAAGAGAATAGGAATACAGATACATAACAAAAGCACACTTGCAATTACTAGTTATATCTAATGAAATTAAGAAAACTAGTTAGATAGCTTAGGCATTTGTAAAAACTTATTGACAGTATGATGGATATCATCTAATTGATTTTGGGTAGGTTGAGAAAAATCAGACAAATTGAAACAGCACATTCTTGGAAATTGTTCACATCCTACATATTCTTTTAACAGCAGATAGTCTATAGCAGAGCAATTCTGAAGCACTGCAGCTCGCACTTCTCCCAGTTCTTGGTGGAGTTCAGATCATACAGAAGCAGTCAGATTTGTTGTTTTGCTATATGCACAGGCCAGCTTAGGTATCTCCTTTAGCATTACAATGACAAGTCCAGGAACCTCACAGTGGTGTTTGTTCCACCCCACCCTATGATGTCAGTGCCTCTCAGAAAACCCAAATGACGGTGCCTGCCGTCGAAGTCGAACAGTCTGAAGGGGAGGCGTGGAGCTGAATAAATGTACAACTCACTCTGAGAGGACACCCAGTCAAGCCGGAACGCAACATATAGCCTTTATTCTCCTCTTTTTATACACACTCAGAAGGGGCAGGTTAACCAGGGATCAAGAAACATGTGCTTGAGTGTTGAGGAACGCCGCTGCAACTGCAACAGCGGCAGGCTCTGAAAGTTTCAAGTTTTCATGACAATCAGATGGCAGAGCTTGGAGAAGCCTCTTGCACTTATATCCAGGATGTAGAGCAGAAAGAATACGTCCCACCCCACAAACACCTTGATAGTGTGGAGAAAGGGCTTGATATGTTTCGTTATCACACAAAAATACCTGACTGTTTGGGAGCCTATATCTAGAAGACCATTTTACATTGATTGTAGAATTACAGTAGGAGGGTACATGAGTACCATCAATACATACACCATCAGTGATAATAGTAGTACTAACAGGTAAATTGAATTGGGCATCTTAGGGGGGAAGAGTGATATTTCTGTAACAGAAAACATTCAGTAATAAAGCTGGCATTATTCCCAAGTCCTCTCCCGGTAAACATATATTGGGTAAATAAGCCAAATTAGTCAAATATTTTCCTTGATGAGAAGAAATTCCTCTGACATGTTCCAGGGGCCCTCTGGAAAATATCAGAGTTAATTAGAGGCAAAAGTACTTTTTGAAATTTGGTTTTGGGAAGCTGTCAAAAGTTTTTAAGGCACTTGCCTAAAGAGAATTATAGTTATTAAATAACACTTATTATTTAACCAGAATGATAATAAGAAGGTTTAAAAGCAAATACAGAAGGTTACACAGTTGTTAACAACACTTAGCTTACAGTCCTTTTAATATTAAGATCTCATTTTCTTAAATACTCAGACAATTCATTGAGACTTTAAGCATAAGAAACTGTTTTGATAAAACAATTAGAGAACCCTTTGCCATCTTTCAATATTAAGAGCAGACTAACGGTTAAAGAAAACTTTGTCTTTTTAACTGAAAACAAAATTCTAATTTTGCTATGTACTTGATATCAAGACTCACTTGCTTTAATTTCACATCGCATGACTATATCAACTTTTCCACAAGCTTTCTACAACTTTCTTTTTACATTCAGTTCTCTCTCTCTTTAAATAAATAGTTGTACTTAAGAACAATTACCCTCTTTTACGCTCAACAAAATGAATTTCTATTCTTTATACTTTCTCTTATTAAAACACACATCTTTAGCACACTAAAATATTTTCCTTATTATATTAAGTAGTTTTCATTAGGACTTAAAACCATTTGATACTTTAACCTTCAGTGAACACTGAAAAATAGGCCACTGTAAACTGTTACACCAGTTATTCTTCAGATTGGATACATTTATGAACATATTTTATCATTTTTGGAAATGTGCCTTACAGCACAATTTCTCATTAAGTACAAAATATGTCTATATAACTTAGCAAACTTTAAGAATTTTGGTTACCACAAAAATTCTCAGGCTGTTTGCAGAAATATACATTGTTATACATTAATACAATATTACTATTTAAAAGTTTATTTGCTGCACTTGTTTACTTATTTTTAGCAACCATGCCAGATCACTTGTAAAACTTTTACTAAACATTAGACAAAGTCAAGCTTTTCTGTAAGCATTTTCTTGAAATATTTAACAGGTAACATCAACTTAAATGACTTAAAGTAAACGTTGGCAGCTGATAACTATAAGGACATGTCCATTTCAGTTAAGCTTAAATTAGCATTAATGCATATCATTTTTTATTAGATTTTCTGGAAATTTTAGAATGCCCAATTTTCACAAGCACTTGTTTTTAAATTAATTTTTATCAATACCATCCGGAGGTAGAAAATATTTTTTATTTACACACTTAGACACACAAACATAGAGACCAAGACATAATGACTACAGTTAGCAACACTTTTCATATAAAAACATATACACAGACAAACTGACATAAAGATTTGAGTTTCTAATATTCAATTGTCTTCTTTCTTCTTAGTTTATTTGATTAAAAGTACTTCAGTTTTCAAGAATACACTCTAAGGGCAAGCAGTTTACATTACTGGGTTAAGGTTTAGACAGCCCCAATCCAGGGGGCTGGAAATAAAATGCATGTACAATTCTAGCACGAGTTATTTAAAGCCAGGCTGTTTTGTAAAAGATAAATTTCTTCTATCTCAGGAACTCTAGTTTAAAACTTCCCAATTTTCAAAGATAATGATGAACTTAGTAAGTAGAATAGATTATCACTGAAAGAATTTAGAAAACTAGTTCTATATTGTAGTAGTTCATGGGACTTTTGACCATTTTCTTTCCTTGTGGCAAAATATATTTAGCTGCATAACATTATATTGCATACTTCTTTCAGGGACCAAGCCTCAGAGAGTTTGTACTGAGGCCAGGTTTGTGTGCAGAAGACAAGACACTTCTTTTTTAGAGTTTAGGGATTGAATTACTTCCAGTTAGTTTTCCTAGTTTTTTTCTGCCCGAGCTTTAATCATTTCTTGAGAGGGCTCTGCCTGTCTGTTAAGTGCAGGGACTGTGTGACTTTTCGCTGCTAGAGCCTTGATTCGGGTTACAAGCTTGTTTCGCTTCCTTGGGGCTGCAGACAGGAAACGCCTAGCTCTAGGACGACTGCCTCTAAGGAAAGAAGTTAATAGAATAGAGCTATTTACATATTGGTTTCAGGGTGTCGCTTGATTATTTTACAGCCTCTATTTACATCATGTTCGCTGCAGGACTACCTCCTAAACTGCGAAAAACAGCATCTTTTAAATGAGATACCTTCTTCGGGGAACCAAGGACATACTTGTTCTATAAATTCTAAAAATTTTGTTAATTGTTGTTGCCCTACCTTTGGGCCGCGCGTCCGCAGCATATGCTTAAGTATCTGTACAAACAGGACTCGGCTGTTTTCGGCCCCCATGATACTCTCAGAGGTTAAATGATTCACCGCCCCTTACCTGCTTCGTGCGCACTATTATCTCGCGGTGGCTCTCATGTTCTCCTCCGTACTTCAGGTCCCTGTTCGGGCGCCACTTGATGGTGCCTGCCGTCGAAGACAAACAGTCTGAAGGGGAGGCGTGGAGCTGAATAAATGTACAACTCACTCTGAGAGGACACCCAGTCAAGCCGGAACGCAACATATAGCCTTTATTCTCCTCATTTTATACACACTCAGAAGGGGCAGGTTAACCAGGGATCAAGAAACATGTGCTAGAGTGTTGACATACTTTTTTACAAAACAAGCATACTCTGTCCTCAGGAGAGATCCTATCTCAGCACACTCAGACTCAACATTTACGACTTGTTATTATTCTTAGCAAACTCCCTTATTCCTGACCGTTCTTTCACCCCAATCTCTCGGCTGTCCTCTCTCAGTTCCCTTTAGGTTTCAACCATCCCCAACACCAAACATCTCACCCTACTAAAAGTTAGTCCAAAAGACTAAAATACTGGTGGTTTTGGAGGCCCCAAACCAAAAGACATCAGGCCTCTTTCTTGCCAAGAAATTGAGAGCCGCGGCTTCCCCCAAAGGCGGGGCAGTGGGCGTGGTCTGCGCCCAGGGCAGGCAAAGAACGGGGCCGTTGTTTGCAGAGTTTTATCCGGAGAATAAAACAAGTAAAAGCTGGCTCCGCTTTTATTATCACCTCCACACTCTAGCATTTTAAAATAATGTCAGCAAGTAAATACTCTGCCTCCTCCAAAACAAATTTTGTTCGTCTAAGTTCTAAAAGTTTGTTACTTATGGTAAGTTTTAGTCTTTTATAGAGTAGAAATGTCTAGGAAAAATATATACATATGAAATTTCACAAGATCACATTTTTAGTACTTATCCTTGGAAGACCATTGTCTTCTATGAGGAAGTTAAATTGGAGAAGTCTCTGTTACAGAGTTGGCCCCCACACAGCTACACGGGCTGGCACCGTTACCCCTACTCCTGCGTAAAGAAAGTGCCCGAGGGTTTGGGATTGCAGGAGGTCACTGCCAGCGCCCTTCCAGTCTGCAGTCCCCGAGGTACTGTACGTAGCACGCACATCCCACGATTAGACTGTAGGCTCTACACACACAGTGATATCAGCAAGAAGGCAAAGAAAGGTAAAGGCCCACTGGGCGAACTGGTTTTTATTTATGTCTAAATTGGTTCAGCAAGATGTGTACTGTGAGGTATAGACTTGTGTTTGAGAAGTAGAAAACTTTCGTAGTAGAACATAAAAAATTTTTCTGAATGTGAAAAACATATTTAAAAGTGAAACTACTTTAATTGCCAGGTATTTTAAGACTACAGAACAAAGAAAATAAAATTACATTACCTGTGGCTGCTTAAATTGTATCTTTTACACGTTTCATTTTCTCAACATCCCCTTATATTGCTAATGGTCATAATTATATATAAATAGATCAGTAAGTTTTACACTATGTTTTTTTCTAAACATTAGTATTACTTTAATTTAAGTTTTTACTTTAAGTAATTACTTTAAGTTACTGAAAATTTGTTCTATTGAGGAGAGCGCAGTAACAGTGACATCCCTCCGGTGCGGAACACAGTTTTTCTGCTACGGCTGGGAGACATTTTGTTGCCTAAGACCTTTTCTAATTCAGCTCCAGCATCCAGGCTTTCTGTTTTGCTTTGTTTGGGCTGAGGAATTCTATTCCTAGTTTGCTAAGACTTTCTACAAGGAATGCATGTTGGATTTTGTCAAATGTTCTTTTTGAATCTGCTGATATGATGATCCTCATTTAATTTTTAGTTTGTTAATAACATGAATTACACTGATTGATTTTTCAAATGTTTAACCATCCCTGCATTCCAGAGACAAACCCCACTTGATCATGGTGTATGATCCTTTGTAAATGTTGATGGACTCTCTGTTTCATTCCAGACAGCTCCTACTGCTACGTCTTCAAGCACACAAACCTCTCCTTCTGCTATGTGTGATGTAATCCCATGAAATGTATTTGTCATCGCAACCACTGTGGCTTCCATCTTGATAAGTACACCTTGGGTTACTGTGTTTCTATGACTCTAGGAAACTATATGAACATAGAGAATATATCTATAATAACTATTTTCATGTCCCTGCCTGCTAACTCTAAAATCTGTGTCAGTTTTGAGGCCTTTTCCATTTTTCAAAAATTGTTTTTTTAAATTTGTATTTTTCTTGCCTTAGTGAAGTTAAGCAGCTTTAGATATGGCTAAGGCCTAGTTCTATATTCTCCTGGGAACTGTCTGATCATGTATTTCTCACCTTTTTCTATCAGGTTTTAGGTCCTTCATCCAATGACTTCTCGGTTTTTAAATATTAGGGATAAATAGTATCAGCCCTCTATCAAAGATCAAAGCTATAAACAAGTTTCCCCAGTTCACCAGTTGTTGTTTCATTTATCTTATGGTATGTTTTGTTCTGCCTTTTAGAATTGTAAACAGTGTGATGCATCCTGGGCAGGTAAGCAACCAGTGGACACCAGGAAGTCAGTGTACTTCATAGGAAACCCCCAAGGTCCCGCTGCGTGTCTGGGTAAGCACCTCAGGCTGGCTGAACCTGTTAGTGGATCAGGAACACAAGGCCTGCAGGGAACCCCACCACGCCTTTCCTTCGGAGCCACAAGCCCAAATGAGAGACTCTCCACCTAGGTCTTATGGGTATAGAGAGGATGCGATCAGTCTCCTCCAAGAATCTGGAAGCTTGTAGGCAGAGCCGGCCGACTTCATGAGAGCATGGCCTGGGCATTCGCACACAGCTCCACAAACATGGTTGGGTGCTCCGCTCTTGGGAGTCTTAAAATCTGTCACCTTGAAACTTGAAAACTGTAGTCTTGAAATGCAGGAGGCCTGCATTTTCATTGTACAGTCAGCCTTGCCAATTATGCACTCAGTTTTATACCCCAGCTCAGGCCTCTGGAATAAGAATTTCCGTGGCAGGCGCCAGACCTCTAAGGGGCTTGAGTCCCTTGCTGTCCTGCTTTCCGGCTGCAAACCACTCTCTGACTGTCATCCTATTTCAAATGCGAAAGACACAAAGATGGATGCACTGACATAGATGCCAAACAAGCACGTGGTTCTCAGGTCACTCCTCCCAGCAGGTCCTTATGCTGATCTGCTGCGACTCCCAAGTCTGGCGTGCATGCAAAGCCAGGACACCAGCTGCTGGGGTGTCCTGGTGCATCTGGAAAATGCATATGGAACTCATTCTTTCACTTTCCAATTGAACCCATACCTCAACCCAGGGCAGCTCTGCAAGTAGGTAACATGGACTGCTGGCTGGAGTTGAAATCCTTAAAGACCCTTGACTTCGAAGCTCTCAAACAAGGTCACAACCTGCTGAAGCCTTGTGGTGTCCTCTGCTTCTGAGTCAGAAGAAAGGCGCTGGCAAAGGCTCTGTAGATTGTCAGCACATCAAAAGGCCCTGATGACCTTTTTATAAGTGCAAAGGAATCAGCCACATCTGGATGAAATTTTGCCTCCGGCACTCACGAATTCAAACATGAGGAAAAGGTGATGAGCAAAATATGCTGGTCAGGCTCCAAAAGCACAGAGGATGTGGGGGACCCCAGAAGAAGCCTCACTAGCCTTGCCTGTGTCTAGCTTATGCCAAATGAAAGTGCTTTGTCCTTCTTGGAAGCCCTGTTTCTCACTCTCTATTTCAACAGCCAGGAAGATCCGAGAAAGCCAATCTCAAATGCTGGTGACCACGTTCTGGAGGATGGTACGTTCAGGCCACCACAAGCTGCTACTTCACACCTTCCTTTTCTAACCAGCTAGCTAAAAATTAGAGCTCTTGCCTGCCGTGTGGAACGTAAGCCATATCATCTATTTCTTTATTAGCTGCTCCAAGTTGAAAGTGCCCCAACTGTAGAAAGAGGCAGTTTGCACCTGCCAGCACTTTGCCCTGGAGGAGTTCCTTTCTGCATGGTGCCCTGTGCTCAGCTGCTTCCAAAGACCGGGTGACTGTGAGGATTCCACTTCGCAAGTGGCTTCTGGTACAACAGCCTCACTCATAGCAGCAAACCCACAGATGCCTACATTTCAGCACCTTTTTTAATGGGTTGAGCAGGAACTTCTGAAGGTTGGAGAGGAATGGATTTTGTTCCTCTGAGTGTTTAGAGATGAAGCATCATGACAATGGGCAAGGCAGCAGTGGGAGAGGTACAGCGGCAGGCATTTCAGTTCTGACCTGTGACAGCACTCCTGGGAGCGCTGGATAGGAAGCAGCCTTCCTAGTCCTTCATCTGTGACATCGAGTCCGAGAGGCTCATTCACAGGGGACTGAGATCTAAGCACGCTCTGCTAATGGAGTACTGGCTGACCTGCTATGTGTCAGACATGGAAGAGCTCACTTTCTGGGTGCTTTTAACCCTTTAGGGTGCCTGGGTATGACATGCCAGTTACCCGGTTTGTGAGCCACTAATGTCAGCATTTCTCACTGACAGGAGAAGGTCCATTAAATTAAAAAGACTGCCAAATACCAGTGGTCAGACGATGATCTCTGAGGCAGGTTGGGCTAGTAGCTGTTGCCAGCCCTCATCCCAGCTTGCCTCATTGGAGAGACCAGTTCCCACAGGTACATGAATTTCTGGAGTACAACAGATTCTAACTAGGAATAAGCAAACACACTTCCTCCTACCAATAAATATGCTCCAAACTGAGAATGGAAAAAAAAAAAACCAAACACGAATCCCTTGTAAAGGCAAAGACTCCAAAACATGTGGTATTCACACTGGTCTCTGTGTCTCTTGCATGTAAGGATCTCACCCCACTCCTACAACATACAAAAATGCAACACACACACACACCCAAAAAAAGGATAGCCTACCTCATACCTGTTAAGATGTCAGTTACGGAAAAAAACCCACAAATCCAGAAAATAGCAAGTGTTGGCAAGGATGTGGAGAAATCAGAATACTTGTACCCTGTTGCTGAGAATGCAACTTGGTTACAGAAAACAGTATGGAGGTTATCCCCCGAATTAAAAATAGAACTACCATCCAATCCTGCAATCCCATTACTGGGTATATATCCAAAAGAAACGAAAACAGGATCTTGAAGAGATATTTGCACTCCCATGTTCA